ACATCCAGACAAAAGAATAATCATGCTTTTGGAAGAAGGACTAAATCCTGCCTGATACTTGTTAGCCCACAGTTCCTCTTTTTTTTGCCAGCCATTGCTGACTTTTTCATGTTATGCTACAGTGCCACTGAGGAGGTCCAGTCCTGGGCTGTCTTGCAGTATATTCATGAAGTGGCATAGAAACTTCTGGCACTCTTTTGCTTTGTTCTCTTCTAAGTTCTTCTTTACATAAGAGGAGTGGAGTGGTACTTTTGACATGATATTGCTGAAACTATATAGCTGGTGTTTGACTGAGGAGTCTTGCCACTTGATTGCACATAAAAGTAGTTTAGCTTTCTTGAATATTTCCATTGAAGCATAGGTAGTATTTTATTAAGGCCTTTTAATAAATTTTTGCAATTTTGGTTTGTGTTTATTGTCTTGGTTTTCTAACTTACCAGGGTGTGAGCTTCCTTTCTGTTTTGTGTTTTTAGAAGCAAAAAAGTAACACTTCCAAGTTCTTTATTCATGTTCAGAGACCCGTCAGGCCATGATGTGAGGGTGCAGTGTTTCCACGGCCCTATCAGGCAAAGTTGTGTACACAGGGGCCGGCTGCAACTTGGACTGACGTTGCAGAAAGCTTGTACAGTGAAGCTATTTGCTCTTGAGATGCCAGGGTTTGTCTGTGGAAAGTAAAGCAGCCCTTGTCTGCGCACGACAGCATTCACCTGACTGATGGGCACATGTGCTGGCTGGCCAGGCTGAGCAGGGGTAACAAACCCTGCCACTGCTCACCAAAGTAATGCTGAGCATGACACGGAGTTGGGAGGTGTGTGTTTGGATGTTTGCAACAGAGAAAAAGGAAAAGCTAAAGGAATATTTTCCACAAACATGTAGGAAGCGAGGCTCAAGGAGTGCTGTTTTGCTGTGCAGTGTTAGTTTTCAACATAGATATTAAAGAATTTCTGCAGTGAAGTTATGGTTTGGACTTTCCTCTGTGGATTCAGGAGGCCTGCAATTTCAGGCTGAAAAACTCTTTTTCAGTAGGTTTTCTCTATTTCTCTTCAGAAGTCCTAAGTTATTTCAAAATATGTTTCTGCTCTGTCATTTGTAAGTCACGGGTGATAGTCAGCAAGAGTTACATTCTGCATGGGGAATATTTCCTCTCAGAGTGGGGCTGGGAAAGATGACCTCATGTTCTTCTGCACATGGTGACTCTTTGCTTTAACTACAACAGCCTTTCCTTCTTCCATGTGGTGTTCTCCCTATTACTGTGCCACCACGAAGGAAGGATACTTTGGTAGGAGAGTGTGTTTTCAGCAGCAGATAATAATTTTGCAGCAAGAAGACATTTGGGGGTTTTTCTACATCAGAGGAAAAAAAACTGAGAGAAAAAAGCATACGAATTTGAAGACAAATCACCCTTTGGAAATAACTCGGAGCAGATGAGATCATCAGATTTTCAAAAATAAGGTTGCCCTCCAGCTTTTCAGCTGCTTGTCATGGGTTCAGAAGAAATGACTGTAATCCTGAACTGTAACCATCTCTTCATCAAAGGCTTCTACCGGAGCAAGGTCATTTATTGTTCTTGCCTAATTTCTCTCTTTCCTCAGTGTGAGATTTTAATGTTTCTGTATGTGAAGGTCAGAAGTTGGTGTCTTACTCATTTTGTTCATTAGACAGTGCTTCAGCTGATACTTGTCCAGAATGACCAGGCTAGTTGTGAATTGCTGATGACTCCCCTTGGTAGCATTGAAGTCTTGATTTTGTTTTTCTTTTGTGCTTTGTAATGGGTATTTCTTACATTATTTTTATGTGTGCTTTCATTATACACAACTGAAACTACTTAAATTCTTCCTCCCCCTTTCTTGCTAGTCTTATTATAGATTTTACGTCTTTTCTGCAAGTAATTTATTATGAAAATAAACACCAGGAAAGCTGGCATTGCAAGGCATTGCAGGCACTGTATTAATATTAATTTTAAGTTAATTTCAAAACCTGTCAATGAAATAGCTATAACTGGCTAACTAAAAGCACTTCTACTTAGCAGAGAAAAGGAAGGTTTACAGGTTATTAAGGCCTTTTCATAAATTTCCTTACACCAGAGCCTTCTCATCCAGAGAGACTATAACATTTTGGCCTAAGGAGAATATCAACAACAGGAGAAACTAAAACTAACAAAACTTCCATCATTTCATTATCTGTGACTATGAGCTGGTGCCTTTTCCCCCTGCGCTTGGTATTCATCTTGATTAATACCGACCAGTGCAGGAAATTTGGTAGGGAACCATTAGTATCCATATGTAGCCAATTTAAAAATGTTTGAATAGAACCTGTACACTGATGACATAAGTTTGACTTGACTTGGGTTATAGAACAAATGCAAAATGAAGGGCTTTCTTTGCCACAGTGCATGTAATGCAGCCTTTTTAAACCTTATGGAGTCGTAATATAATATTTCCGTTTGATTTGATAATGTTTTACATTCTTTACCAGGCTGCACAAGTGTGTTACTGTTAAGTGCAAGCACTGAGAATTCTTAAGGGAGGAATCTCCAGATTCATTAACAAAAACTCCTGCCTCTTAACTTAAATCATGAAAACTCTTCTTTGAAAATCTTTTAAGTCCAGAGTTTGCTTTATCATGTTTTCATGACCACTTTTAGAAAATCTTTCTGATCTTCAGAATTGTAAAGGAATTTTGGGGGGTGTTTTATGGGCCTTGTTTTGTTTTCACAATGAAATGAATAGAGTTTACTGTGCTTCTTGCCTGAAGTACAAGGCAGGTGTTCAGTAGGAGGGAGAGTCTTGTGTCAACAGTGACACAATGAACTTGAGTATAGAACAATATTATTTGATAGCATCAAAAAACATCTCCATCTTCATGTTTTTCTGATTCCACAAATCTATTCAAAGTATTTATATCTTTGTTCTATCCTTGGTTGCTGCAGCCACTAGGATGTTGAAGACTGATTTTTCTTTATTGAAAAAATATCTGTAGTGTTTCTCCACGTGTCTCTCCTGCAATCGCTTATTTTTCTATTTAGTTTTCTCTAGCTGGGGTGAGGTTGACCTAGAGCAAAAATGAAAAGCATTATGCTTTCTTTCTTTAAACCAAATGCCTTGAGGATTTCATTTCCTGATCTACTTCAAAAATATGTTTATTGTTTTCACAAGACAAAAGCAAGGATGTTATCACTTAGTCCTGATGCGGAATTGACTGAGTGAGTCAGAGTATAGGGAGGCACCACACATCATGACCTGTAATTCTCATCTCTCAGTAATTTCAAACTGTTCTTGAGTGTACTGTATCTACACATCCCTAGCAACGTGGCCACTCAGCTTTTTAACACTGCTTTCCCCATGTGATCTTAGTCATTGCCTTCTTTCCCAGATGAATTCTTTTACTTTTCATTGTTGTCGATCTAGTTGTCCTTTAGCTTAAATAATAACATAGTTAACAGATAGTGTTTTTTTTTCAAATTCCTTCTGATAGTCAATAATTTTAATATGGAAAATGGAAAGAAAATTACAGTTTTTTAAAAATACCTACTTTCTGCCACCACAATAGCAGTTTATCCTGTAGAATGCAAAAAAAGGAGCTGTTGGGAAAAAATGCTTTCAGGGTCTCTGTTTTCAGTTTAGTAGTAGTTCTCATTTAGATCTAGGTTGTAACTTCAGCTGTTATGCTGTTGTACGGAACAGAGTAGTATTGTCTGGTGTTGCTTGCATCAGAATTCAGAGGTCCTTGGGCTGCTTTTTTTGTGCCTGTGGTCTTCCCAGTTTGGAAGATTATTTGTGTAGCAGCCTTCTGAGAGAGCACACTTCCTGTGGGTACATTCTTCCCAAGAACATATGCAGGAGATGCTGGGAGCGGAGCAAGGACCGTGTTTGGGAGATGCCTGAAGTGGGGCTTGAGGATTGTGGAGGCATGCATGAGGGTTTTTTTGAGAAGCAACAGCAGGTTTTTTTGCTGGTTTGAGGGTTTGTTTGTTTTTTTGTTTGTTTGTTGGCTTGTTTTGTTTGTTTTGTATGGTTTGTTTTGGTTTGGGTTTTTTTCCAAGAACTACTGTGGTGAGTTACAGATCCCCAGTGAGGGCTTAAGACAAGAGGCAGTTGTAGTTGAAGAGTGTCTGGGGGTCTTTTTGTTATTACCAACAATTCCTTTTGTCTCTCAGAAGACTTTATCATCTGTCTTCTGTTGCAAACTTAGTGGCATGTCTGTGTTCAAACAGGTCTCAAACTACTGGGTTTTAAACTGGAGCTGTAATGTGGCCTGTGTGTTTTCCTGAGCAAGCAGCAGTAATCCAGCTCTAGATCAGGCTTGAAATGTCTGGGTTTCCAGCAGCTTTATATGTTCTTTCCTAAGCAAAAGCTGCTGATCACTGCATTTAGACCTTGTGTGTATGTATAAATGTGTAGATACATAAAAAATGTGTGTATATATATTTATATATAAATATATATGTTCACACTTGTCTCTCTGTCCTTTCTAAAAGAGTGAAACAGGCTCATAGAAGATTAAAAAACAAGAAAGAATGAATGTTATTTAAACTGGAAAAGATTAGATATGAAACCATGAGAGGAGATCTATTCCAAATATCGAATTAGAGGAGTGAACAACGAAGGTGGAAGGAGAGGATGTAATAGAGTAGTATACTTGCATTAAAGAATAGCTTTATTTTTTTCTCCCTAGTAGTACTAACAAATCTTCATGCCTCCAGGAGGTATGCTGGCTATGTGTGGGAGTTTGGGGGCCTCTGACTGAGGGAAAGGAGTCAGGAGGGGAACTTACTTTCTCTCAAATAACCGACAGATAAAAAGTGCAAGAACCACTTTGTTGAAGTTGTGGTTCTTCAGTGTGTGGTACTTGGTCGATGGGGGGCTATACATGACATCTCGTAGTGGGAGAAGGCAAATATACGATAGGAATATTCTTAATAGTGATTTGACCCAGCTGTGCATGAAACATTGCCTGCATGCGAGTTTAGCATCTTTGCTGTTTTTTGTCTTTCGTGCCAGCTCTACGTGGCCACTGAAGCCATCCTCATCGCACTGGTGGGTGCAACTCCTCCCTACGACTGGGATCTCCCAGGGCTCTCGGCTAACCAGAGCCATGGCAACCATTCCGTGAGTGAGCAGAGAGCTTTCGGGGAATGGCTTCTGACTGCCAATGGCAGCGAGGTGCATAAGCACGTACACTTCGGCAGCAGCTTCACGTCAATAGTCTCTGAGGTGAGTCTGAAATGGGTTTTGCTGCCTCATGTGTGAGTAGTAAATCTTACTGAGTTGGTTTTGGAGGACTGGCTGTACTGCTGCTTTCTTGCATACTAATGCATGTTTTGATTAGGAAATGAAACAGGTGTTACCTTCAGGTAGAGAACAGGTAATGTGTTCACATTTTTACTGACAACAAAAGCTAGCTTTCTTTTGCTATGCAGATCCAATGTTCTGCTCCAAAACTTCCCACCATATGGAAGTTATATAGTGGCCTGGTTCCACATTTGAGCTGGAATCACAACATTCACTTTACTAATATGCTCAAAATCCTTTGTGGACCCTGAGCTCTTTCTGGCCGCCTTTGGTGATTCCCTTGCTAAGTTCCGATGCATGTAGTATATCCATCGTGCAGCTGGCAGGCAGTGGAGGAACTGGGGAGGAAGTGGCTTCTGCAGTCTTCGCAGCTCCAGAAATGGGAGAGGGCATGGGCAGCGGGGAGTTAAGCGGACAAAGCAACTCCCATTCTATTCCAAAACAAGCTTCTGCTTTATTGGTGTGGCCTCTGTGCTTTGTAAGTGTTTCCTTTCGTGGTCTAGCCACAGTCCTTATTGCAATGACTCCAGACTCTGTGCTGATGAGTGCAACACCTGCCCTTCCTGGGGCTGTCAGTATCTGTTAATGTCAGATTGTTCTGCACAAGAGCCCTGAATGCATTGGTGACAAGACCTGAATTTAGAGCTGAAATCTGGAGTTGTGTAGTACCACCGGATAGTTCATGGCTGTTGTCCAGAGGTATTAATGCTATCTGAATTACTCCTCTAAAGCACTTTATTGGTTATAAGCATATTAATAAAAGTGGCCAGCTTTGGAATAGTACCAAGCCTTATGTACAAAAGGCATTGCTTCTTACTCTGGTAATAAAGAGGATATGAGTACTTGTATAAAGAGGATATGACACTATCTAAATTAAAATTCTAATGGATGGTAGATTTCTTAAGCATTATTTACAGCCCAGTAAGGTTTTCAAACGTTCTCTGAGCCTTTTTTCCTTTGTTTGTTTGTTTGTTTTTTAATCAAGAATCTTTAATTCTCTACAACTTGATGGTCAGACATGCTTGTAGAGGCTAGCATATGACATAAATTTTAAAATATTTTTATAATTTTTGTTGAATAAATAAGAAATGCAGCTAAAGAACAAAGTTTACTTGAAAAATAAAAACTATAAAGAAAAGAAAACAAAAAAATCCCAAGGCAATTTGCATAGATTCTGCTCCATAGTTCTTTAACACGCATTTTTACAAGACCCATGTGAATAAAATCTGTTACCTCTCCTGTTTCCTCCTGTTTAAACACAGTTTTTCAAAATTTTTTAGCTGAATGTGTGGTAGATTTGGAAGTTATGTGCTCAATGCAAAGGTTTCGGTGAGATCACACTTACTTGGGGCATAGTTCACCAGTGTGTAATTTCATCACTGATGTGTAAAAAGTTTTCTGCATTTGAGGAGGATTTTTTAATGCTTGCCTTGTGGCATCACTTACTGATAATGTGACCATTGCAAATTTACACTGAAAAATATTCAAATGTAAAAAGCTTCATTTATGAATAACAAGCATATATATATAACATGCTTTTATGTAGAAAAGCCTTCAGCTCTTTAAAGGGGTTACATTTTGACCTTAATTTTCAGAAGAAATTTTGCTATGCAACCCTATTATCCCTTAATCCCTGAATGATTCAGAAACCATCTAATCTCAACAAGTTTCGTGTTGGCAGCTTCTTTAATGTTTATACTAAAAGTTAGGGCATGATTCTTGGAGCTCTAATAAAACAAACTGACCGTGTTATTTCAGGATAAAATTAATCTCATGCGATTATACAAATGTATTTTTCTGAAAATAGTTTTTAAAGTCTGCAGAAGCTTCAAAAGCTGATTTGTGGTCACGTGTTTAGCTTTAGAATTGAATTTTGTCAGTCTTGACGCTTTAATGGCACATTACCTACTGTATCAGTAAACACCTCACCATTAAAGTGACAATTCAAAATGAAGCATATACTGCAAGTTATTTTCTTGGAGCTTATGAATGATGTTTTGTTAACTTCCTAATCTTGGTGAGGTTTAATTGCATGGCTCTGTTCTCGTGGTGAGGTAGTTTATAAGTGAGCTTTGAAATAATATAAGCTTTGCTAGAAAGGATATTTAATGGGATTTTGGTAGAGGAAGAGAAGATTATGAGGAGAAGATTAAGAGTGTTACTGCAGGGATAATGACATAATCACCAGCTTACCAGCACAGGAAGAAAAGTTGGTTGCCTCTAAAAGGAAGCATTATCTCAAGGTGCAAGAGAAATAGAAAAGAAGATGTGGAGTGTTTAGAATACAAAAGGAAATAACTCTTAAACAATGGCACCGTGGCATATTTTCATTCTACACGTTTGGGGGGAAAAGAATTTTCTGTCGGGTTCAACTGGAGACATTAAGTCTGTAAGAATCAAATATTTGAAGATTGGGTTTGTATTTGGAATTGAGAAGAATTGGAAATGACAAAGTATTCTGTAAAATAAAATGAGTACGTGCAGAAAACCTGACTAACATGTCTAAAGCTACCGAAGTATTTCTTAGTGATAAGACAGTTCATAAGGAAGAGCTTGTGCAGGATTATCTTCAGACATAAACCACAATTATCTTTTTTTATTGTGTGCCTACACACTGCAGGATGTATGTCAGTAGGTAGAACTGAGTCTATTTAGGTTGATGGATTTATGTGAGAAAAGGCAGAAAAAGGGAGAGTGGGAAAAAGCTGCAAAAATTAGAGTGTTCTGAGGGATGTGTTCTTGATTTCAGAATCAAAGACTGAATGTAATTTGGGGGAACTGTACAATTGGTTAGTACCCCAGGTGAGTTTGGGATACAGCAGTTGTGTTTTGGTGACTGGTGCTCTACTGAATATGATGCTTAGAAGATTTACACAGAGTTTGATCTTTTCTAAGATACATCATCCCCTCCACATACTGGCTGCTGGTGGACTGCTGAACTGCTTGAATTCTGGTTAATTTGCCTTTTTGTTGGCATTTGTTTTTTTTTTTCCCTTTCCATCCAGTGGTTCCTAATTGGCAATGCATCATACAAAGTCAGTGCTGCGAGTTCTTTCTACTTCAGTGGTGTGTTTGTTGGAGCAATCTCCTTTGGCCAGCTCTCAGATCGCTTTGGGAGGAAGAAAGTCTACCTCACAGGTAACCACTGCCACCTAACAAAATGAATGAAGTGGAGGCGTCGTGTCTCTGAAGATCAGTGACAGGAGCCCAGTTTCTGCTGAGAGCTTGATATGCAGCTGTGACTCACGTGTTGTGATTTTGTTTGTTAGTTTTGCCCTTCCAATATACTTCAGGAATATGTCTTGAAAAGAAGTTAATATTTGACTGTTCAGTCACCATGTGAACATCTGCAAGGTATTCTGGATTTGAGAGTCATGCCATAAGGGCTTACACCCTTGTAGGCTGCAATTAATATTTCTAGTGATTTTTTAATAGTGTTCTTACATGTATAACGTGTTAGGAATTTGTTGTGCCTTTTATCTCCTCTCTGCATGATTTAATTTTTATGTATTTGTGATCCTCATAGTTTTTTAAAGCACATAAGCTTTTTTACTGTCCCTGGATCAAATATTTGAAACTGCATGTTTTGTGTATGTATAAAGCTTTGTGTCAATGGATGAGCACATAGAATTTAAAAAATGAATTTTTTTTCAAAGAAGCAACCTTATTCAAAGCAGATAATGGGGGGCCTGCTGTGCAGTGCAAAGCCACCATGTTTTGTCCTCTTGCAGTATTTCTCTTCTCTAGTTTCTTTACGCTGTTTTCTAAGAATGAGGGGGGATATTTGGTCTTGTATTTAATCTTTGGCTTCTGTATTGGAGATAAATGTCAAGCCATCTTAACTAGAGTAAGGCAGTGGTTCTGAGTATATGAAAAAAAATTGTCATGAACTGACTTTGAAGGTTTAATACTAAAAACTATATATCAAAACCCACTCCTTTTGTGTCCTCCCTCTATAATATTGACTCCAGGTATTTAAGTTTCTGCCCAAACCTGTGGTGGTATTGTTGACTGATTGCTCAGGACAGATGCCAGTGAACATCAAGTAAAGATACCAGTAAATGCTGTTGTTTCTCTAGGTAATGTTCTGAAGTGAAACTTTGCCTTGTTTTCCAGGTTTTGCTCTTGACATCTTGTTTGCCATTGCAAATGGATTCTCACCCTCCTATGAATTCTTTGCCATCTCTCGATTCTTGGTAGGGATGATGAATGGTGGGATGTCACTGGTAGCCTTTGTTCTACTGAATGAGTGTGTGGGTACTGCCTACTGGGCATTAGCAGGTAATGTGCCTTTATTGTCAGAATTTATAGATTTCAGCCTCTCATACCACTTGAGTCACACCACAGCTAACACCATAGCAGTTGCAAATTTAGCTCCACTTGAGCATCTCTGTGACCAGTCTTTGAACTCAGCTGAAATATCTCCTGGGAATGTTACCCAGATAAATACTCATCCAGGGGCTGTCACAGCTGAGCACCATCCATCAGAATTTGGGACTCTGCTGAGTGTTTGTGTACTATCAATTCTTTCCTTCCTGGTAGTTCTCAAAACGAAATGAAAAGTGTTTTTATCTAATGAAGAAGATGAGACAACTGTTGTTTATATGTTCAAAAAACAAAACAAAACAAAAAAAACAACAACCAGTTGTCCCATACGGTAATTAACCTTAGAATTTAGAACAAAAGATACGGACACCCTTAGCTGTCTTGGTTGCTGGTGCTGGACCTGTCCTTCAGATATGATGTGTATAACCTGTACTGTTACAGCGCCAGGGCTGGGCTTACCCAGTCTGTGCCAAGTGCCAAAGAAGTACTATGCTGAGTCTGTTTTAAAGCAAGGTATCTTACAAATCGTGAGGGCTACAAATGAATACTACATGCTCCTAAAATACCAGTTTTCAGTGGTTTGCAGTATTTATTTTTACACATAGGAAGCTGAAACATACTTATATTTGGAATTAGAAGACTTAATTGTTTATGGGGTGCAGAGGATGTAGAAGATTGCTTTTTGGGCTCTCTGAAGGACAGAATATTCTTTGGTCAAAGAGGTGAGGTTGTGTCTGTATTGCTGAATGAATTTTTGTTAACGAAGAGTTAGTTCTTGTCTGGTCCCACGTGTTGAGATTTACTAATGTTTCTTTAAGGAGTGATAATGTTGTTTTTTTGGTTTTTTTTATCGTATATTAGGTTCTATTGGTGGCTTGTTCTTTGCTGTGGGAATTGCCCAGTATGCTCTACTAGGGTACTTCATTCGTTCCTGGAGGACTCTGGCTGTTGTGGTTAACCTGGAAGGAACAATCGTCTTTATTCTCTCTCTGTAAGTTATTTTTCAAACCGAGTTTCATAAAGAAAGGAATTTTAAAAGTAAGCAAACAAAAACAAGTAACAAAACCAAACAACTAAGTCAAGATATTTTTCTAGGATGGCATGAAATGGTGTAAATAAGGTATTTCTCTCAACTTTTACCACTCCATGTTCTGTAGTGTCTTCAAACAGTAATGCTGCAATGTTTGAAAATGTAAGTCTACATTGTATAGTATATGCATAATTACTGTAGATGGGAACAGTCTCAGAGTAGCTTAGAAGCACATCCTATTCTTTGACTGGTATGTGTAGATGATCTAAACTCTTGGCTGGTATGCTACAAGGCACTACACACACGTGCTAAGAGATGCAGAAATGGTTTTGTAGTTATGTAATAACACTGTTTTTCTCTTAGAATTGTGCTTACACAGAAGAAACAGCATCAAAATTGACTGCACATACAGTCTTAAACGTGACGTGCAAAAAAAAAAAATGGGCATCTTCCTTTTATTTTTTCAAATGTGATCTTTTTGGAGATAGCAGGGGGTTTGTGTTTGTGGATTTTAGCACTCCAAGCTATGTGATGCACCGTACTTTTCTTTTCTTACCTGCTTCCTGACATCTAAATCTCAGTAACTGAAAGGAATAACTTTAGCTGCTGTTTAAATAAAGTGTTATTTTTTTTTCTTTCCAACATCTATTTAACTTCAGTAACTTTGTGAGTAAAGCCTTTGCTAAAGAATCCACATGCCCTTTCAAAGGAAGCATCAGAACTCAGGGAAAGGTCTTAGAGGCTGTTATGAGGGGAAAGAGAGAGCTGACACTTTAGATATTTCAGAACTTAGTGGTGTTTAGGGCCTTAGGCAAAAAAAATTTAACTCTCAGATTGCTATGTACAATTTTTTGAAATGAGTTATTCTTGGGACTTCAGAGCTGTGCTCAGAGGCCTATCTTGCTATAAGAAAGGGGTTTTTTATTCCAAATTTTACACTGCCTCCTTCCCACATGGCTTACATGGCTTAAAAATTACTCTGTGCAGAAAATACAATCAGATTTTTATCACAGGGAAGAAAATACGTTCTTTTCTAATCTCTTTCCTTTTATAAAAGCACAGAATCACTTTCTTCTAAATTTAGAGGTAAAATGTCATTTCTAGTCAGAGGCAAAAGTCTTAAAAAGCTTCTGGCAAGATGTTAAAGTTTAAATTAGTTCTGAAAATCCAAAAGTAATAGAAGAAGATTTGTTTTGTAGGCCATGTTGAAGTTATAAACCTGTCAAGTGAACAGTGCACATGAAGAGCATGACCTTCACACAGCATCTGCCTTCCTGTCTAGAGGAGAGAATCTGGGAAAAAGTTGGAAAATGAGAAATGGAAATTGGTCTTACGGAAAATGAGAAGTGGAACTAGTTGGTCTTACTAAAACATCCTGTGTTACTTGTAGTAATGTGTGCCTTCTTAATTCTGAATCCTGCAAAGACAGAGTCCTATTCATACCATAATTTGTAATATTGTCCTTTCTGTGTGTGTGTCTGTGTATATACTCATTGTAATTTCTTGGTATCTAAATTACATATATCATATGTTTTCTTTCACTATGATTTGTCTCTCTTCCACTTAACTCAGTTTTATACCTGAAGGGTTGTTTTAAAAATTCCATATTATACTGAAGTGTATTTCAGCCTTATTCCCATTGGCAAATCAAGCCTCATGGAAAAAAAAAGCCCTGAAGGTGTCTGTGTATGTGTGTTTCAGATTCATTCCTGAGTCCCCCCGCTGGCTCTATTCCCAAGGCCGTCTGAATGAGGCAGAAGATGCTCTCTACCTCATTGCCAAGAGGAACCGCAAGCAGAAGTGCACTTTTTCATTGAAACTCCCGGCAGAGAGGGGCTCCAGAGAGGCTGGCAGCTTTTTGGATCTGTTCCGATACAGGATTCTCTTGGGACGCACCTTGATCATGATGTTTACCTGGTACTTGAAATACTTTGTAGACCCAGCTTTGCTACTGTGGCCTCTTTAAGTCTTTGAGAGAATATGTTGCTGAGAATTGGCTCATCCTGCGGACTGTACTTAGTCTGTATTGTTAGGGACACTGTACCTAAAAAGGATCCTTTATAGTGTTTCAGTATGTATTAACAGTATTTCCTTACCACGTTTCTAACATGAAGCCATTTTTAACATGAAACCAGTCGAGTTCTGAGGTGTTTTGTCTTTGCATTTCTGTCTTGCTTTTTGAGTCTCGAAATAGTTGAGAACTACCTCTTCTCTTCTGACCCCTGCTGAGATTAGTCACGCTGTCCTCCTCTTAGGCCCAGTGCTGTCAGTATTTTGTCACGTGGGTCATTGTTTGTTTTGTGTGTAAGGAGCCCATGAGCAGGTGGGTGGCCTACCTTGTCTAATGAGTATGTTTATTTTCTTCAGAGGAAACGCTGCCAGTGCTTGCAGTTGTTGTAGTGAGGAACAGGAGCCCACCACGCTCCCTCTAGTCACTAGCAGAAATTTAACTCCAAAAATGCCTTTTTTGTTTCAGATAGCCCTGCTAGCCCTGAGGTCTTTTGCTGCTACTTTGAAATAAACCTTATGTATGGCGTAGTATGTGAGTCCCCCTGGCATTACTGCTCATACAGTTGCTTTTATGATGCATATATTTGGGAGAGATGTATCGATAAAGAATAAAACAAATTATTTTGTCAGCAGACAACACAGAGCTGTTTTCCCATTGCTTTTCCAAATGCTTACTGCAGAATAAATAATTCATTGTTTTTTTCCTGTAAATGAGAATTGCTGATTTCCTGTGGAATGAATTAGTAACCAGTTTCTTTCCTTTCTATAAAGATGATGGTCTTTACAGGGATGTACAAGGTGACGGGGTTACAAAAGAAAAGTTAAGCAGAGATGGAGAATGAATAAAAGTGGACCAGTAGAAAATTAAAGAGGGTCAAAGTGTCACTTGAACTGCTTGAGAAATTTGGTTTACACACAGTTGGAAATGTATGGATGAACATGAGACTTGATAAAAACAAAACAGCCAAAGACATTTCTCAAGTCAACTAATATAATCACGGTCATATTTAACTTTATTCTCGTTTATCCATGTTCTTTTTAAGAGTAGTTTTAACTTTAACTCAGTAATAAGTCAAGAATTGGGTCTTTGCAGGGACAGAATGGTTTCTTTGCCTAGAAGGCATCATACGCTTGCAGAGAAACATTTTAGACCTATCTTCTGAAACACTAAATATAGTTTAGAGTGTATTGTGCCAGACCAGTGCTTTGACTTTGCAGTCAAAGTGTCAGCTCTGATTTTACTTTTCTTTTAATTCTGTCTTTTGCAGGTTTGTGTGCAGCTTGGTTTACTATGGTCTTACCCTTAATGTGGGTGACTTAGGTGGAAGTATTTATGCCAATTTAGCCCTTTCAGGCTTGATAGAAATCCCAGCGTACCCAATCTGCATTTACTTGATTAATCAAAAATGGTAAGTATGAAATTTATTAACCCATTCAGGTTTTTTTTTATAACTTTTCTCAAAGATAAGGTTTCCTGTATGTTGCATCTCCTTGTGTCTGTTGCGTGGGGCTTCCCGCTTCAACTTGAAAGTGCCACTGATATATCTTTATTTCAAATAGCAGTTTAACTTATTTTCATGATAACAGTGAGCCGTCTCGGTTTGGCTCAGATGAGGCTGACCTGGCTCAGTCGAGCCTGGCTGCGCTGACTCCGTGCTAACACTAGATAGCGTTCTTCCCACCGCTGTCGCATGATCCCCATCCTCGCTGCTGGGACAAAGCTATCGGGACTCAGCTGGAGCTGTCGTGTGGTCTCGAGCGGCAGTACCTGTGTGTGCTAGTATGTGAGGAGAGTAGGTATTTATTTAGTCTTTTCCTGAACTACGATACTGTGGACAATATTTTGTAGAATTTGCCTCCTGATCTTTTCTCTGTGCATCAGCCAAGTAGGTTCATAAATGTGTGCACAGAGTGGGAAGCAAATCAAAATCCCAGAAGTTGTCAGCCAGTGCATAAAGTTGGTGCTCATTTTGTTAAGCATGTAGTAGAAGCTAGTTGTAAAACGGTGCGAGAGGAAGTGTTGGTGGAAGATGGCATTCAGAATTCCCAACTGCAATTAAAGAGTCAGTGTGAATTTAGAGGTTGCGTTGCCCTACAAACTACAGACCTAATGCAGAATAAAGCTTTGTTATCCTTGCATATCAGGTTTGGTCGGAAGCGAACACTGAGTGCATTTCTGTTCCTGGGAGGATTGGCTTGCCTTATTGTTATGTTTCTTCCTAAAAAGAAAGGTGAGTGTTTCCTTTTGTTTCTGGAGTACGGGATAAAAATTGGTAAAGACACCATCCTACAGCCTAAGAAGTTGATGTTGTATTAGTAGTGTGGCTACATAACTTTCAGTTCAGAGAGCATTCTGATAATCCTCTGAAGCAAGGGGTCTTTAAGAAATGTGAAATTAAATGTCTTTTTTGTCAAGATGCACTGGTGTTAATTTTCAGATGTTTATCAAAATGATAAAAGCAGAATTACAGAGGAATTTTTCTTTTATAAACCAGATATATGAATTCACCTCACCTGTAAGATCTATGGATTTATAACACCTTTCATAAGGTGAGAGAATGCTTCAGACACTTGAAGAGTGATTAAAAAAATTAAACACTTATGATAGAGCACATAAGTTGCTCTAGATGGCAATGAATCTAATAGGTACAGATTTTTCTGAAGGGATGCAACTCAAGTTTCCAGAATTGTTCCAGATGCTGGAGCAAGCCTGGAAACTCAGAGATATTCTAGTTCTACTGGTACTAGTCATCAAGTAGTTTTTGCATATCAGTCCAAATAAAGCATGTGAAAAGAGGGGATAGAATTGCAAGACTCCAGGAAATCAGCTGTGTACTGGATTACCAAAGTCAGCCAGGGGCAAAGTGCCTTAGGAAGTGAAGTCGCTCAGTGGCCTGAAGGAAGCACCTGTGTCATCTGGGCATCAGCTCCGATATGCTTGATTGAAGCAGGTAAAAAATGGCTGTTTTGACAAAAGTAAACTGAATGGGATATATGGTATGGTCCTTTACAGCAACTTCCTTCCAAAGTAATAATGTTAGAAGCAAGAAATGATACGATAGAATTGACACTGAATCTCTTGGTACTAAAAAAAAACCTATTCACTTTTGAAAAATGTATCGCTTAGTCTTTTCTTCAGCTTACCAATGGAACTAGTTTAGTATTTAATTAGTGGTAAACTCTGAAAATACTGAGTTGTGGTTTCAGCTCTTAGACTCTTCACTAGATTCCTGTTCACTCCATACTGTTGTGTAATTGAAATCAATAGAGATGTATTTGAGTTCTCAAAAGCCTTATAAGGGTCACATTTTCTCCATCAGATACTGGAGTGTTTGCAGTGGTGAATAGTCGCTCTCTCTCTTTGCTGGGTAAACTGACAATCAGTGCTGCATTTAACATTGTCTACATCTACACATCAGAACTTTATCCCACAGTGATCAGGTAACACAAGTTAATTTTTAAGCCGTCATTTCTGTGGTTTTCTTAGCTGACCATCTTTTGCTTCTCTGTCATTTTTTTTTTCTATTAACTATACCTTTTCATTTGAATTTTTCAGTTACATATAATGTTTATCTGTAGTTTTACATGTTTAATTTCTTCCCTCATCCTCCTCTCACTTCCTCTTCCCTCAAAGTTGCAGTGTTCTCTTCAGACTAACCCTGTTTTTATGTAACAGTAAAATATTCCTTTGGCTGCTTGGCATGTTTACAACTCTCCTTTCACCAGAGGATAACAATAGTACTGCTGATATTTCTTTTGATGAATGATATCTAACTTTTTCAGTGCTTTATAAACCACACAACTGTATTATCACACTTGCTTAACCAGGAACACTCAAGATGACTGGTCATAAGCTTTGTAAAAGTAACTTGATGCTTCATAGGCCCTGTATAAACAACAATAAGTAAGGTTTCACTCACTAGAGGCAGAAATACCCTGTGCTTGGGCTGACAGAGCAGACAAAAGCATCTACCATAGGGGTACCTATGATGATCAGCCACCAGTGAAGCTATACAGTGCTGTTTGTCATGGGTGGGTATTTCTGCTGAGAAACAGGATTTGGATAAAGTAATTGAGCCAAAGTTTCACACAGAGACAAGATGCATGAACTGAAACCACACAAGTTTTGCCTCTCTACATGTGTATGTATGTTAGAATTCTGAATGTAAAGGGGACTTTGGCTTCACTGTAATTACAAAAATGTTTCGTTCCTGTCTTGGGACGCTTTCAGTTATATTTGATTTTTATTTGCCAGTTAATGTGGTGAGGGTGATGACTGATGAGTTTTTTCCTTGCTCAGTGGCACTTTTCAAAATAATAATTATTTTTGTTGGTTTTTTTTTCTTAGGAATGTTGGAATGGGTGCCTGCTCCATGTTTTCCCGTGTTGGTGGAATCATTGCACCTTTTGTCCCTTCCTTGGTTAGTCTGAACTTCTATTATGTGTATTTTTGTTTTGTGGCTCGGATGTATCAGTTTCTTATGGAGATGGGAATATTTTTGATGGGTTATGTATATAAACTAAGATATGTAAGTTGCATATCTTAACAGTATCATGGTAGGCCAAAGGCATTGCAGTATCATCTGTGTGATTAGACAAAACCTCAGCATTATTTAATTCAGAAGGTATTTTATCTCTAGTAAAAATTTTGCGATTTAACCAGTGGACCCTAGCAGTACAGTAATTTCGTATTACAAAGGTGGTGATACCCAATTTTAAACCCTAAGCAAGCAATAGCAGAAAACCCATATAGCTAAAGGATCCACTGTGTCAAAATAAAGGATATGGGCTCAATAACTTAAAGTTCTGAGAATAAATTAGCTTTACTGCCAGTGCACTTTATGGTGTATAAACATCAGCAAATTGGTTTATCTTTCAATGAATGAAGAGGATGATGTGGAGATCTGATACACTGGCAAGGCTTTTGAGCACAAACTTCACAGCAATCTGTCAAGGCAAATTAAAATTCTGAACAACAAAACATGGGGAAGATACCGTTATTTTCCTCTGCTTATAGTTTTAAGTATATGCAGGTAAAAGAGTTTGCCAGTTTTTCACACCAACTGCTCACTGAGGTAAAGTTGCAATTACTTTAATATGGCAGATTTTATGTGAGGTAACTTTCCTCTCTGCCATTTCCTCTCTTATATGTGAGGCAGAAGGCTCACAAAAAGGCAGGTGAGCACAGGGAGCCCTTTAATCTGCAGAATGAAAGGCTGGGTAGATGAGAGTGTGAAAAGCCCTGGCTTACAACAGGCAAAAAAGCCAAGACTGGTGCCAGTCTCCCAGGTAGATTTAATAAGCAGCTTTTATGTAGCAGTTGTGGCATCGATTATCTTGTGTCTAGCAGAGATTTGATACTGTGTGAGACATAAATCTTGAACCATCGTGCTTGAAGGGGTTCCATGAAAATGAAAATAGCTCTGTTAAGTAACAAATTAACATTGATTTGAGAAAAGAATGAAGTATTTTTGTGGTTTGGAATTTCTTCCACTCTTTTAATGCGTTTTCAGTGTCTTTAGTCTGGGGATCTTATAGCAGTAAGAATAGGAAAAGTTAATTGCTGAGATAAGAGATGACATGTTGGTCTTTCATTTGATCACAGCTTGTTATTTTCCTCAGTTTAGAATTGCTCTTTCCTATACAAGACAAAACAAATAGCTAAACTCTTGCCCTTTTTTACTGGTTATCTGAAAGTGAATGTACACATTTTGGAGCTATGTTGTAGGTAACTTGAATTTTTTCCAGTGGGAACATGGGAACATGCATGGGAAGAGAAGTATAAACATGGCTTAGGCTGTCACAATCACAAGTGATGACAGGAAGGCCAAAGCTCAGTTGAAGCTAAAACTAGCCAGAAACTTAAATAGGGATTCTCTGAACTAAAGGAAATTTAGTGAAAATGTTTAGCCTGTGGTAAAATGGGATGGTCATCATGTGGATGACACGGAATAAGCTGAAATACTTACAGTTTAGTCTTGATAGGCAAAGCCTGACCCCATGACACTCTGCCTGTCAGCACAGTTGAGGAAGCAGAAGACCAGCAAACAGTAGGAGGAGCAATGGGTTCAAGAACACTTAAAGCTGAAAGCTTTCCATTCCATGGGAGAGGATTCCCTAGGAGTTGATGAAAAGAGCTGATTGTGATAGTGTCCATCATCTGTGATAAGCCTTTATCATAGTGAAGGATCACTGATAGCTGTGGGAATAAAATGGCTAATGCTGTGTGCATCTTAAATATCGGAAAGTGGAAGCAGGGTGTTAACAGCCTGAGCAGCTTGAACTCAGTCTCTGGGAAGGTTGAGACATGATCTCTCAGAATCTATTTCTAAGCATGTGAAGGCAAGGAAGGTAATCAGGATCAGTGAACATGGGTTTACTAAGGATAATTCCTTTTCAGCCAGTTGGATTCGATAGTCAGTCATTTAATCACAGAAGGTAACATGGATGAGGAAAGGGAGGAGAGCAGGGAAGGCTTTTGTAAGGCTTGTCTGGGAACCAACTGGCTGAGTAGCAGCCTTCCTGGAAGAGACAGGTTAAGAGGAGGCCAGCAGTGCCCTCTCATCACCAACAGATGAACTTCACACCGAGCTACATCAGGACCAATTCAGTATGTGGCCCACAGATTAATTACCTTTCCAGTTTGAGAGGGATGTAGAAAAATCTGGGGAGGGTGTAGTGGAGGGTAACCAAAACGGTCAGGAGCCTAGGGCACATGGCTTCAGGTGAATGCTGGGTCTTACACCTTCGTTCTTCCCAGCAGTGTGGAACAGTTCAGCAGGGGTCAATGGCCACAGGTTTTGTGGTTAGACAGGAAGCTTTGGGGGTTAGATAGGAAATTTGGAAAATAATCTTTTTGAGAGGCTTAAGACAGCACTGGAACAGTCCACTTGGAGGGGGAATATCCACCCTTGGAGTTTTTTCAATACTTGGTCACAGAAAGCTATGATTGACTTAGTCTAGCAGTGGCTGTACTCGTGTTGAAGTAGGTGGTTGGCCTAGATGACCCAAGAGATCTCCAAGCAGCATGTCTGTGTTTCTGTGGTATCTATTCCCTACTACAAAAGGTTGTTGCATTTGTTAAAAAATATATATGTTATGGGAAAGAATTGAGTTCAAATTCAGCAGGCATTTCTTCTAAAGTTCATCCCAAAATCTGTGTGGTTTTAATAGTATTACTATGATACAACTGACAATATTTGTTAAAGAACAAACAAACAAATAAAAAAACCCAGAAGGATTGGTAACTTTATACTAATTAGAAACAGAAACACATGCCAGGGGGATTGGTTGTAAAGGCTAATTGCTTTAATATGCAGTATGAACTACAGGGAACCAATCTCAACGTAACTCTCTGTTATTTTTTCCAGAAATCTGTACAGTGGTCTCTGCCTTACATTGTGTTTGGAGCGACTGGTCTGTTGTCTGGGCTCTTAAGCTTATTGTTACCAGAGACCTTAAACAGCCCTTTGCTAGAAACTATTTCAGACCTGCAGGTATGCTCGTACTGGAGGCTGGGAGATGAAGCCATGACATTGCAAGCCCTAGATGGCTCACAGGTATATTTATTTTTTTCCTAGTACTTTTTCTATTGTGTTTATTTCAGCTGTCAGCTTGAATATGCCACTCTAAATAGATTAGGATAGTTATTCGTGGGCTGTGGAGGATAGGCCCCAAGGAGATAGAGAAGATAGTTTAGTAACCCTACCATCTCATCTGAAATGTTGTCTGGAAATGCAGGCTGAAACATAGCTGGGCTAATTCATCCCTTCAAGGCCAGAAGCTCACAGTATTTCCCTTTGGGATAAAGTGATGTTTGTGCCTCTCTAATCTCTGAGATGGATTGCTGCAGCATGCTTCATCCAAAGCATGGGCCACTGAAGCCTGAGAAGCCTTAGATGTTAACAAAAAGAAAAGCCTGTTTGTGAAGAGCTGTTCTCAAAAGGCAGCACTCTGTACTCCTGACCTGCCTAGACTGTTCTGCAGTGCCAGTTGTTAGGTCTGTCCTAGAGAGGCTTTAAATGGGTTAAAGCTAGACTAACCTCCGATACGTGTCCAACCACTGACTCAGGGAAATGAGATTTCTTGAAAACATTGGAACTACAAAACTCCCAGGCATAAGCATAAATAAACATGGCAGCAGCATATTTTGCTGTCAGGTTTCCTTGAATGTTGTTTTTCACATCACTTTGTACTTCATTTTGTTAAACTCCTTGGCATCTGCATCCTCCAGTCATGTGGAGGTTTTTTAACATAGCCGCTCCTCTGTGACTGAAGTTGGATTAGAAAGAAGTAGCTGGAGAAGCTGGGAGTGGGTGTGTGAAATTGGGTAAGGTTTTGATGGTCTCAGAATTTTAAGTATCACTCAACTAGTGGTTCATGGACGATAGATTAAGTGGTCAGAAGACTTGAAGGGAAACTCGTGATAAAAAATGTTAGTTGCCCCGTTAGGCTGAGATGAGATGGAATCCTTTAGCACCTTTTATTTTCATTTGCTTAGTTTTGGGTCAAGCACTCTGAGGTTCACAGGTAGTCATACTTATTTTCACAGAAATCAGGAGGCTGAGCAGCATGTACTTCTATAATGAGAACAGTTGCTTCCTATCAGAAGCTTCAACGTGCTACCTTGTTTACCAATTTTAGCTGTAATAGTTCTTGACAGGACAGCACAGTTCAGTGACAAAAGCACCCTTGAAGAAAGCTTGAAAGAGACAGCCCCACAACAATTAATTTTATACTTTAGCTACTTTACATCATGTGTTATTTTATAAACGTTTTCAGTCATACTGGATAATGTGTTATGACACCACGTTCTTGCTGACTACACAAATCCATCATATACGTTTACATCAGCTGTTATTTTGGTAATTACATCGTTATTACATCTTATTGTGCAGATGGTTTACCAACGAAAGCAATTCTAGCAAGCAGTGCAGGTGTTACAACTTAGAGGGAGGGAAGTCACATTTTTGTTTCCTTTTTCAACCAACCAAGGTCAGTATTGCCCTTTGAGGTGTCAAGTTTTGTCTATCAGGATTCTCACAACTTGGTTCACTTACGTCAATCGGTTTTCTCAGGTTTAACTTTTCTGTATGTTCTTCTGTATGCTTCTTAAAAATCCCACCCTGAACAGGACCCACAGAAGGAAAAAAAGTAAAATTGAGAACGTTCTTCAGGAACACTTTGGCCAGATGGACAAAAATTATTGAATCCAAATGAAAACGTCCTTGGTTCAGGCCTGAACTAATACTGTAACTTCAGTGAAGTTATATCTGGAATTCTATGAGACATTAGGGATTTATTTTAAAGCTCACAAAGAAAGTGCTGATAAAATGGAAAGCTGTTAAACATTAACCCTATTTGATAAGGCCATAGAGAGGTCTTATGAAGCTGCTGTGAGAAAGATTTAGAATTTATTTGGCATACCCTGAATTTCCCCTGTGGAATCCATTGTCCTTTTGTACCATTTTGAAGTTAACATGTGTTGTGATTGCCCAGAATGGAGGTTTTGTCCCTGTTAACACGCATGAATGTGATATTCAAGTTGGACAGCATCCAGTGATAGCCTGACTTTCCTCAAATAATTTTAGAAATCTGGAAAAAAGCATAACATGATTCCCTTTATATCTTCTGACAGGTCTTAGTGCTCAAACTGTCTGAAATTCCTTTACAGTCAACTCACAGTGCTGTAGCAAAACTCCTCTGAAGGCAGATCTAAAAACTACAGATTTTGCTTGCATGGTACTGTCAGTCAGGAACATGATTTCCATTTCTCTATTTTTTACCCTCTCTCTCACCCTTCTTAGCATATGACTAGGCAGGCAGAAGTCTTAGGATGGATGCAAGCATATTGGGGCAAAAATCCTAAATAACCGAACTCCATAAAGTTTATGTTAGCAGGAGAATCTTTTTAACTGGAATAGTTTGTGTCAGTTCCGTGGAAAAATGCTATATTGGCCAAATAAAAATCAACCAATTGTAACAGCTGACTTTAGTTTGAGTATGTGATATAAATTACGCTGTCAAAATGACTCTGGCTGAAGTAAGTATGCATAAAACAGGGACTTTACCTTCTGAACATATGACATGGTAATGGTTTTTCCCTTTTTCGTAACACTTTCAGTTAATATTGCAGGGGGATCTTTTTAACAAAACATAGTAAAATGTCCATTCTACACATGGGAAAGTATTAATTCTGCATGGAGAAGCTTTTACCTAATCAAGTCATTTGTGTTTCTGAGCTGTGGTGAGCTACTGTGTTTCTAGTAGCTCTCCACAGAGTGGGAACCTTAGACTTAAATTAAGAAAGTAGAGTACATTATCACTTCAGAAACTTTCTAGCCAGTCTAGTTCCTGCATGTATTCTTCAGTGAACTAGTGGAGCAGAGAAAGTCCACCCACTAAACCCCATCTCTTTTAATAACCAAGGACATAAAAAAAAATCTTAATTCATGTTATGCCTTTTATGAAGTTTTAATATAGTGAATTGAGGTGTCTTTTCGTGCTTTTTCTCTAGCAGCATTCCACAGAGGTTTAATGGTTCATGCTTATGTATTTTGAGATTGATTTAGTGACTTCTGTGCTAACTAACAACTTAATTTTTGTTTCTAGTCTGGAGACAAAGACAGTTCTACAGGGAGTGGAAGTGAAGATGAGGAGTTTTATGATGCTGATGAAGAGACTCATATGATCAAATAATGAAGAGACACTGGCCCATTTTATGCCTTTTCTTACTTGTGCAGTCAGTCCTGCTGTATGACAAGCACTGGGGACCTCACTTGTCAGGGAACATAATTGGGCAAGTGCCTGCGTTCTTCTTGACTAGGAGAGGGGGTTGAGTCCTGTTCAGACTAATTACTCCACTGATGCTCTCCATATGGGACAGCCATTCAAAATCTTGTGGTTCAGAGTGACAGTTCATGGACTGCATTTGAAGCCAAGTGAGACAGCAAGAGTGGGATAATGAATTTCTGAAGCCTAGGAAGTTATCTAGGTTCAGATGGATTTGGACAGATCATCAGTGCACATTTTATTTTCAAGGTGGTGGATTTTGATTCAGTATAAACTGATAAACTGGAAAACAACCACTGTTTTATTCCATAGGGTGGAAGTAATCACAGAGTGTACTGTATGTTACTTCAGTGGGAACAAGTTCCCTGAAATTGTATGTTGAAATGGGTTTTGCATATTCAGTACAGGAAAGGCAACTGTGAACATAAAGTTTCCCTCTCTGCACACCTGTGTAGAGTTACAGGGTGCAGCTGGTTAGTCCTGCACCGGGTGTTTACTTAGTGATAATGGAAGGCTGGGAGGAAGGGCTACACAAAAGAGGCTGCAGACATGAGGGGCATTCCTGACTTTTTTTTTTTTTTTCATTCTCTTCATACACCGAGGTTTTTCTTGGGCTGACTTATGCATATGTTTGCCATGTTTTCCCCACATCTCAGCACTGCTGTATAGCCTTGCCTACCTCTAGCTTGTCCTCACTTTGCCATAAATACTGAAGCTTAGCAACTTCTCTGTGGAGTGAAATAATTCTGACGGATATAATTTCATGCGTGTGACATAGGTAAGGTATTTATCACAATACTCCGTGTGCGAGGTGTCTTAGAATATATAGCTCATTTTTGCAGACCTATCTGTGTCTTTATTTCTGGAAGAGACTTAACATTGAAGTGGTAAGAGGAACTATGAGTTGCTCTTACATTTTGGGCTTCACGGCCAGTAAGCTGCTAGTGTTTATTTAAGTCTTATGTGTAGATAACATTCTCGTTTAAAAAACAGGCAAATCTCTTTGAGGCAACATTTGGTTGCTTGATGTTGTTTCTTAACCAGGTGCTTGCTCTTAACATTGTTGAGGATGATGACTTCATTCTCCTGTTTAGACTGAACTTTTGGTAGATGCTTCATTAGCAGAATGTGGAGTCCTGTAATATGAAACATGAACATATGAAAAGTTTCAACTAAAAAAATGAGGCCTTACAGAGATTCAGTTTTCTTGATTACATTGACATCTTTATGCTCTAGTCTGTGGCTTTCTCTGTTAAGATGGGTTTCTATAAAATGTTTCTCAGTCTTCCTACTTTGAGTTCCTACCAAAGTGCCATACAACGGCAGAGGGTGTATTTTCAGGCTCACAACCCATTTCTGTAGATCTTAAACTTGAAAAAGCTGGCTTTCAAAATATCAAAAAGCTGACTGCTGAATATTTCCTGGTTAAACTGGGAAGTTCCCTTTACTCTTCCAGAAAGTGAAAGTAAACAGAATCTGAAGCTTGCAGCAAGGTGTTTGAACTTTGTTCACTGGGAACTGTAGCACTGAGCAAAGAGCAACTCCTCTGGTTGGTGCAGAGGCCAGCCCAGGGACTGCAGTTTCACACATGCAGCATTCCCAGTTGGACTGAACTTGATCCAGGCATTGGCTGTGAGCAAAGTTGAAAACTTCAGTCCCTATGGACAGAGGATCAGTATGGTTGTAGGTTTTGCCTGTATTTGAGCTTCACTAGAAGAATTCCAGCCTTCTCTTTTTTTTTTTTTTTCCAGACTGTTGGATAGTTGTTGTAGATGTGGCAAGGCACTTTTAAACCCAGCTGTGTAGTCTTTCTGCCTTATTTGGCCCTTTTGTATGTAAGAAAATTTCTCAAATAAGGTGCTCAGAAATACTTGGAAAGGTTGAACCTATCAAAATATTTTTTAATTTTGTATTCACATTTTAATTTATGGAGAGGTGGAAAAATGACTTTTCGTTGCTGATGGCTTCTAAATAAATAAAACCTGCTTAGTTAGAAGCAAACAGCAGTAGCCCAGTGGTATTAACGTGATGACAAGACCGTGCAGTTGTTTTTAGTTTTTTTTCTGCCTTTGTCCCTCTGTGGGTGTTAGGTGGAGTATGTCATCCAAGGGGCAGATGGAAACTGTTAGCCTTCCTCCCTCCATATTTTTGCTGTCATTATCCCCTACTGGTAACCCTGGTAATGCTACAAGACACCTCAGCATAACTGTCATTACAACTGTAGGACGCTGTAATAGGTCAGGTGGAGAAGATCACTCTGAGCTAGATTTTGTGACAGTCTTTAACTTATAATTAAATTTACCTCTCCACTCGTGCACTTTTGTATCATCAGTACACATATGTAAAACTGAAAAAAACAAGAGTGAAGACAAAATCAGCAATTGTTTTCCACAGATGCTGCTGCTTCTTTTTTAACCCTAAATCTGTCCCGTGTTTGCACCTTTCAAATTTTAAAGGGACTTTTTTTAGAAGGAATTTTAAATCTTCTTTCTGTCAACCGTGGGAACTCTGTATTGTTACTTTCCCTGGTGAGTTGTATCAGAAGGTTTATAAGAGAGAATCCCTGCAGGAGAAGCTCAGCAGTGTAGCGTCAGGCTTTGCTCTCCCCCTTTTTGTTCTGAAGTTCAAATCCATTGGGTGTTTTTGAAGTTATGTAAGCAGTCTGAGTAAGCCTAATTGATGAATCTCAGTGTCTGAACAGTAAGTTTGCCCTGAGAAGCTACTGGAAAGCAGAGGTCGATACAGCACTAGATGTATCAGTTTATTATGTGTTGTAATGCTAGAAGTCTGAGACCTGTCATCCTTGTTACAGTTGAGTGAAGTATCCTATGATTTTGCTAGAGTAGCTTTGTATACTAAGCAGCTGGCACTGATAACTTTTTTTATGTGTTACGCAGAGGTTAAGATACCTATCCCCTATAAGGAATTTTTTCCCTGGATTCCTTTGGCTGTCAGGTTTTTTTTCATCCAGCTCACTTTGTGGAATTATGCTAGAGAGCAGAGAGGCTTTCCCATGGTGTTGATTAGTCAGATCTTAATACTGTCTCAGGTGAGGTGTGTTTGGGATTCTGCTTTCTCGGGATCTCACAAGTGATACGTGAATACAGCTGGGAATGAAGGAGAGTGACAGGTCATGACAGCATGGAGGAGAATGAGCTGGTAGGAATAAAAGAAAAAAAGAGAGGATTCAACTGAAATACTTTAGGGCAGGTGTAAGTGAAAATATAAAATAGCAGCTGTTGGGTAGAAATACCCTTCTTGCTCCTTGTCTTGACGTGAAGCTTCTGCTTTCAGAGCTAGCATTGGTTCTAGGATGTCCTATTGGGGGCATCAGTTTCATAATTTCCATTTTAATGTCAGCTTTGTTCAGTACTGCTGCTTTTGTGATGAAACATTTCTTTGAATCAATACAAAATGTGTCCTGCCTCAGTTTTCTTTTGGACTTGGCTTTTCTATGAAATGGCATGGCACCAAAATAATTAAAATTTGGAAAGCCTTCTTTTGTTGAATGATGTATAATGGGTCATTGCTTAATTTGCCAGCTTCCCTTTAGAAAGATAGAAATATTAGAATTATTTGATGAGTTTTTGTCACACAACTTGTGAAGTGATACTTCAGCCTTCTAAAGGGATTTTACTACCTGGTTGCTTTTGATAGGCTGGAGAGAATACAATACAGAAGTGAGAAGTTTGTTTTTGTTTTTTTTTTAAATTCCAGGAAAACAAAACTAGTTCTTTAGGGATTGGGAAAGTGCTGTTCAAAGGCTCCCTGACACATCAGATACTTCGAAGCTCTCTGTTAAAGGAGAGCCACAGGTGACTCTGTGTTTAGGTCAGGATGCCCAGTGAAAAACATGCCCACGCCTCTCCAGAGATACATAATTAACATAGAGCATGTTGTAGCTTGTTTCCACCTTTAAGGATTGCAGCCCCTTGCTTATCTGCTCACAGTGTGCAATCCATGCCAGGGTCTTCAGACTGTGGATGGATGTACTGAGGTTAGTAGATTATCATTTACAGAACCGTGGGGAATGCAGTTGAGTCATACATTTTCCAGCCTATTTCACCTAAATATGTAAAAGCACTTTGCAAGAGAATGTTTTTGTTGCACTGAGGAAAAGGGGAATGTGAGGAACAAATATACTTTTCCTAGAGTGTGTTAATGGAAACATTTGAGCTAAAACCCTTGTACCTGAGTCTTCTGCATAATCACCACATGCAGATTTGGTTACCATTATTTTGTTTTAGCTGAAGGCTGGTACACTGTGTATCCCTTTTGCCACCCTGTTAGAGCTTCTTTGATCGTGCTCTTTTACCCATCTGAGTCTGTGCTTGCAAACTGTGAGCCTTGCAGTAAATATGTCAGGAAAGCCCAAGAGCAGTGCTGTCATTTGATGGTGGAAGTTAGTCTGGCCTGACACAATGCCTGTGTCAGGAATGTCTATATTCAGCTGTTTACCAAACAGGAGACTTAGGGTATAGCTGTATTTTGAGTCTCACTGATTTTATCTTTCTACAAGATGTGTTACTTGAAGGAAAGACACCTGTATAAGATCTCTGTGGCAGATCTCAGTGTAGAATTGGAGGGTGAGCAAATTTATACGTAATTTTTCCATGCTGTGTATCTTTAATACCTTGTCCAGTCTGTTGTAGCCTTCAGATTTTCCAGGTGCTACTGTTACTAAATCTAATAGAGCTGAGTAAAACTTTTACCCCCACAGTCTGAATTTACTGAACTTTCTCATCTGAATTTTGGTACTACTTGCTGTTCCTGCCATGCTCCTGCATTGCTTAATAGAGAACAGATTTCTTTGGTCTAATTTGAAGTGCCTGTTTTGTAGAAGTTGTCTTTAATTTCCGCAGTCAACTTTATATGGGACTATGTGTAAAGTAGCATCATAGAATTGGATTATATAAGTGCCAAAGACAGTTTTTGCTGGAAAGCAATAGTCCAAAACTAGTTCTAGCTGCCTTCATTTAGAATTCTTCCATGCAGCCTGCCAAAACTGGTATTTACAAGCATCTCTGAAACTATGGTGGACAGAGAGTTACCTTTGTTTGCTTGTCTTTCACTGCTCAGTTCACTTAAGTAGCTTTTGTTTCTGAGAAACCAAAGAAATTGAATGAAGGATTAAAGTGTAGGCTTTGTAGAACATGCAGAATTTATACCATGTAGCCATTACAGAGGAATCTGCAGAGCCTGTTTCCTTCTGAGTTGCAAAGTTTACTCTAAAACTGATTGGAATTTGTTAGTTCATTCATCAACCTTACAAATTAGCATTGTTAATAACAACTTGCCTGGAGCTTCACAGGATCTAGCAGATTTTTATAAAATGCCTGGTCTATTTGAGGCAGCATTATTGCTAAATAGTAATGTCTAGAATTTAAATCCCTGTTGCAACTGATATTCACTGCAAGTCAGCCCTAACATGGCTGTGTGTTTGTCAGTAAAAGGGCAGATGAATAAAGCTTGAGCTGACTAGCCCCAGAAGAAAGATTATTTCTTTTAAACCATTCTCCACTCTTTATGCAGAATGAAGTAGGACCATGGGGTGTTGGGATCTTGTCATATACAGCAAGACTGTAGGATGAAAAATGTTTAAATACTTGCCCACCCTCATTTACTAAAGGTTTATAGGGGAAATTGGTCTTCAGCATGCTTGTTACTGCTTCTCACCAACACATCTGAGGTACTCATCTCATCCTTTTTATGGCAAAAAGTATGGCAGTAAGAAAACCTTTGCCAATATTGAAGGTTATATATAATTTAAAATCTCCCATGAGAGGTATCCGGCACACCTGTTTTCAAATAAAATGTTTTTAAATTATGGAAACCTGATTGGGAGACAGGCATTTCTACTGCTAGTTTATAGAAAAAAATCAGTTTTGCAGGCACTGATAAAAATTGTTATAGAGCAAACAATTGCAGGTGATATGTGATGAAAGAGTTGTGGATGCTGTGATTTCAAGTATGCCTCTAAAGGACTGGTTTCTACAATTTGATCCTTTTCACTCTTCAAAATCAAAACCAAATTTTATTTTGTTCCTGTTAAAATTTGAGTAAGTAATGCAGAAATAGGAAGTAGATTTTTCGTATATATAGTTTTATTGCACTACCGTTGCCTCCTGAATCTAATGGTACCTCGATTTTTTTAAAGCTACCTCTTTATGTTGAGCTTGTTTGTCACTTTAATTGATTTTTAGGAAACTACAAAGTCTTTCCTTTTTTATTTATGTGGGAATCCATGACTTAAAGTCATCCTTATCTTTAAAATTTTTCTTAAAGGCCTTTTAAATTTAGTTAAAAGGCTTAATACTTTGAAGGAGCAGAATTACATGGTTAGAACATGGCTTTTCCTGCGTATACTGTTTGCTTTTAGAAGGGCCAGAAAGCTCTTAATTTTATATTAGTCTCAGCTGAGGACAGTTTTCAGGGGCAATAAGTTTTGAGTTGAGTTTTAATCAAATCAATTTATTGCCAATTGAGATTTTAGTTACTGCTTTGGTATTGAAAGAAAAAATAAATAAAACACTTAGAGAAAACACTGCTGCTTTTTTCCAGACACTGCTCTTCCTCCTCTCTCCCCTACCCCACAGTGGTCTGCAGTTCCATGACTGCATGTCATGCTCAGTCCCTTCAGCAAGGCAACAGGCAGCACAGGAGACTGGGATCAATCTGTTGTGCTTGTTTTTTTCACTGCTCTTTGTTATTCAACTGCTCTAGTGTGGGTTTCATCACCAGACACAATCCCTTTAGAGTTGTAGCTCCTTTTGAGTCTACTGTTAGCCTCTCCTCAGGCTGTGATTTTCCTTTGGCTTTTTTTCCTGCTCAGCTGTCTCTCCTTAACAGCTCCTCTTGTGCTGACACGGACTTACCCTTTTTTCCTCCTGCTGCTGTAGTGCTGTAATCTCTTTCTTGTCATTTGCTGCCCTTCTTAAACACGGTTTTGTGGAAGTGCCAGCAGGTCTTCCAACAGTGCTGGAGTGCAGTGGGTCAGTGCTTTCTATGCCCGAGAGGCAATGGACACTATCTGAGACACAGGAGGATCCATCTGATCACAGGGAAGCACTTTTTTACTGTGAGGGAGATCAAGCACTGTCACAGGTAGCCTGGAGAGGTTGTGGAGTCTCCACGTGAGGTGATATTTAGAAGTCATCTGGACATGGTCCAAGCCCACCTGCTTTAGTAGGTGGCTCTGCTTGAGCAGGGAGGTTGGACCAGGTGACCTCCAGAGGTCCCTTCCAACCTCAGCCATTCTGTGATTTCTATGCTGCCTGTTTCTGAGCTGGCTGGGACCCGCACAGGGCAGTGCCTGGCCTCTTCCCTCACAAGGCACTCTGCAGCCCTCTCACCGCTGCAGACCCTCACAGTTATGCTCAGTACATCACTTTACAGGGTTGGGGTTATTTTGTAAATCGAGTCCTTAGTTTGGGCTGACAGTGTGTGAGTGGTAGTTGGTACTATATTCCCTTTCTGTGTTGCTGTTGTCTTAGGTCAAGTAAGTGAAACTCCTAAGGATATAATCAGGCATTTATAGCCAAGCTCTGTGTCTGTTTGCATTTACATCCTTGCTGATTTCAGAAGACAGGACTTAGACCTCCACTTGACCAGAGGAGCAGCCAGAGGGGTAAACTACTTTGTTGCTGCTCCACCTTTCATCATCACAAAACCAAATCTTTGTGTAGTCTCTTTATCCTGTAGACTTTGCATTGTTTCCTCATGCCCATATAATTTGAACTATCAGTTGAAAGTCCTTGCCAGTTGGGAACTGAATAACAGGAAATTGGAAATGGAGAGAATAGATTCAGTCAAAAATGAAGTTGTATATAGTTGGTGTGTGTATTGTTAAATATTTAATTTGTATTACTTGAATACTGAGTGTTATGAGCCTTCCCATGTTAAAATGAGGACTGATATATTTTAGAAGTACTTTTTCTTCTTTAACTGTCTTAGTGTGCTGTTGTTAACTCAGAGTTGTACTGCTGAAAAGTCTGTTTTGTAGAATACTTCTTCATCTGAGAAGTCACAACTGAAGACAGCATAAGCTTTTCCACAGTAGACCTTTTATGGTGGTATATTCATATGTTCTGTGAACAGCTGTTTGATCCATCTTTTTAAGATGTTCTTTGCCATAGGTGAGGGGCCATAACAAATGTTGAAATATTCAGAATAATTGCACTTGCCTATTCTGTTTTCTTAATGTATTTCCTATGCATATTGCCTTTACCTGTATGTATTGTACTTCACTGGAGGTACGAAAGGTAAATATCAGGTTCTTAATTTATAATATGTAGATGAGTTTTTAAAATAATTCTGTAATGCTACATATTTTCCAGTGATCTGTCTACTAAGAGAGGGTGATGGTGGTAAACCCAGGTGTGAATTTAGTCAAAAGTTAATATTGGTGGTCTTTACGTTTTCTCCCAATTTCTGAATTATTTTGATAATTTGAAATACATTTTTTCTTTTAAGAATTTTGTAGACGCTAACCTATGTTAGTAAGACAACTTTTAGGTGATTTGTAACAGCTCTGATACTGCCTCTGATTTGTACAGTTCATCTAATGTCTTTGTAACTTATTTTGTGCCTTTTTCTTCCCCAACACAAAAATCTCTCAATAAAAACAAGTTCTTTTGCAACACCACAAGCCTATTTTATTGTACTGATTTTTTTTTTACTTGCCTGACCCTTTTGTTTTGTTTTCTGGAGGGGGATGAAGCTCTCAGAATAGAATAGATATTTATAATGGACTCTGCAGAAAATTGACAAGGTGGAAAGCAGGTCATTTTGGAATGGCAGTGCTACAAAGCGCCTGGGAAACTGGGACTGTCAGTACTAATCAATATATTCCACCATATCTATCACAAATCATTTCTAACAAAAACCGGCACCAGTGGAATGTGAGAATCAATTTACTACTGGCTTCAGTTGTGCTGATTGATGTTGAAAGACTGGAAACACTTTGGGGGGTTTAGCATAGCAAAATGTCTGTGGCGCTGTTACTGACGTGCACTGGGGGCTGTTCTCACGAGCACTGGTTGGCACGGAACTAGTTGGCACCCCTTGTGTGATACAATTGCACAAGACCATAGTCCCTGCCCTCAGGGCTTCTGCCAAAATGTCTTGTCAGGGAACGGCAGAATTTGAACATTTGTCTTCATTACCTGGAAATGAGATGATAAATAGCTTGACTGCATTTCCTGCCCCCTGTCTAGTGGCAAAGAAAATGTTGGCTGGGGTGTAGGGATCAGCGCTCTGTTTGAAACTGCTGGGTAGCCGATACTTCATACCTCTGTATATGCTTTAAAAAAAAAAAAAAAAAAGATAATTTAAAGATTCTCCTTGAATAGCCAAAGCCCTTTATCCGTCAGTATTCTGAAGTATCATTGCTGAAGAAGATGGATGGTCTACATGATGGGTAATATTACCAAACCTTGTGTTATGTTGCATTTTAGTCTTCCTCAACATGGAGCTAAGAACAATAGTCTAGCCAGACTCCTTGCTCATGCGTCCTGGGCACTGACCAATGCAAGAGTCATGCTTTGCTCTTGTATTGCTTAATAAAAAAGAAAAATGTAACCAACTTATGTATCTTTTCTGATTAATCTGTCATATGCCCTCTAGAATCTCATGGAGCTTTAAACAAGGTATTTGGAAGTCTTTTAACTCCAAATGTTTTCATCAGCAGCCTTTCTAGAATGAGTAAAAGGCTATCATCTGTTCTTGTTATTTGCAGTTCTTTTGAGTTCACTCTCTTTCTGGTACTCGATACACTTAAATTTTTACACAGTTTTCACTTTTGCTGTTTTCACCGTGGAGGTGATGATGGAAGGCCCAGTTTTCAGATGTGTCTTGTTGTGTCCTTGGCATAATTCCATCCATAGTCATTCAGATTTGTCTTTCCCTCCTAATATGTTTCAACTACATGCTTCAGGAAACTACGGGCTTGAAACGCTTTGTTGGTTGTCATGCACATGAGGAAGAGCAGCCACTGAGTAAGGCAGCGTGATTTACATTGACGCACCTCCCTGGTAGCTTGGGCTGCTCTTAAATGCAGCTTTGTTTGCCTATGCTTTGGTTGGGAACTGGCTGTATCTTGCTGTGACAGGAGCCTGTTTGACTACCAAGCCATTGCGTTGTACTCTCTGTTGGGCCCAGATAAGGAAAAAGTGAGAGAGAGAGAAGAATGAGGGAAGGAAGTATAAATTACATATGGGAAGGAGGATGTTTCATATGACTGTGAGATTTGTTTTGTCAGTGTAGTTTTATTCTTTTCTTTGTTCTGATGCTTCTGCTGTAGGTAATTTTTCACACTGGCAGTAGAAGAGACCTCTGGAAGTCATCATATGGGAGGTGTGGGACTAAGGTGCCATCCCTTGAAAGCAGGGACATTTGGAGAAATGTGCTTGTCCTTTGCTGAGAACAGGCAGTACTGGTGCTGAGATGACAGCAGTGAGCAGTCTGCCGGCTCTAAGCAGCTATCTGGCAAAATTACTCAGTTCTTCATGCACCAGACTCAAATTTAACTAAAGCTACCTTGCTTCTGAGAAAGACTCAACTCTGCACTTTCCAGTGTTATCACCTTGCATCTTGTTGGTTACACTGACTCAGTGAATACTTGTGGTCAGAAAAAGAATTTATCTCTGTCTTGGTCAGTAAAAGCTGAGAGAGTTGGAGCTGTTCATCCTGGAGAAGTGAAGGCTACAGGAAGACTTTTTAGCACCTTCCAGTACCTAAGGGGGCTACAAGAGTGCTGGAGAAGAACTTTTTACAGTCATGCAGTGATAGGACAAGAGGGAATGGTAACTGGTTTACAATTGTAGTGCTGAACAAGGTGCATGAAGAAAAAAACAGAGAAACTGAGAATTCCTTAAAAATTAGTTTGTAATGCTTTGATCCTTGCATGGTACGTAGGGAGGGTGGGCATTTGGGATGGCATGGCTTTCAGCAGCAGTTTACACAAGGGCAGGAGAAAGCAGTGCTTGCACAGTGGCCTTTTTTCAGGTGTACTGGGTTGTTTGAATTGAAGGTCCATTATCTTCTCTAAAATTTTGAATTATTGCTGTGGCTGTTTGATCATTTTCTCTGCTATTCTTGAGTTTGTTAGAGAGCAGTTCATGGAGTAGAAATGCATTCAGATGAGATCTGTGGTATCCTTGATAGCTGGAACTGGACTGTATGACCCTGTGCTCCTATGAACGCTGTTCCCTCCTGGCCCAAACTGCCCCTCTGCTACCAGAGAGCTTGTGGTGTTACTCACCTCGTTTTCCATTTGAAACACATCTGCCTGTGTTTCAATTTCCCTTCATCCATGAAAGCCCAAGGAGCAGAGAGATGGCTTACTCCTCCATGCACCAGCCTGGCCAAGCAACTTGTTCTGCATATTCCCAGGGGTTTCATTCCGGGATTGTTTCCCCTCCTCCACTCCTGTTTTCAGTGCCCTGAATCTGCATTTAACTAGTTCTAGCCCTAAATATCTATCCTGTGTCCTGTCACTGCCTGGAGCAGATGCAGCACAAACGATTGACCCTCTCCCTTTGGCAATTTGGCTTTGACTGCACAAAACAGCCAATAAAGTGGAAAGGGCTGGGCAGCTGATTATGGGGATTGGCTCGAAGCTGTATAGTTTTATGGTCTGAGATAGAGGAGGAAATGTTTGCTTGAAGAATGCAATTGCATTCCACTTTCTTTCTCTTGCTGCCCGCTCTTGAGGATGACAAGTTTTCAGAAGTTGCAGGCTAAAAGAGTAGCATGTGTATTTTTCAGACATAGTTTGGACTGGAGGCTGTTAGCTCATTTTCCAGTGGCTGATGCTGGATTGTGTAGCTATGCAGGTCATGATCTGATCTGTCTAGAAATTATATGAAAAGACTTGACTGAAACCTATGTTGAGATTCATTCTCAGACAAGGCTTGTTCTCACTAGTTTGCTCAATCTCTTGTTATGCTTTGTGGTACATATATCATACTTCTAATAAAAAGCATCTTTTTGCTCACTTCTGCTGATGTTGTCATTCTCATCTGTATAGTAATTGTTCCTCATGGCAATTGTTTCCCTCAGGACCCATGCATTGTAGAGTCCCATTAACTCTCTCCTCCCTTCTGTTCTTCCCACACAAAGCGTGCAGTTGTCTGGGCCTTTCCCTGTGCTTTTCCTGAGGCATTTCTGCAGCTATAATGGCATCTTTAATAATAATCTTCCACTATTCTGATTGCTTCTTCAGCTTCTCCTTCCCATCTTCTCCACAATGCCATGTCAGCCCCAGAACACAGCATAGTGCCCAGGTGGACATATCCAAAAGATATTATTTGGAGGTTTGATTTTTTTTTTTTTTTGACCTGTGTGTGTAGGATGACACAAGCCGAGAGTTTGATAAGACAGCTTTTATGTAGCAGATTGTCCATACTGCTAATCAAGATTATACAAAACCACACCTGCTTTAATACGGTTCATGACTCACAGAATGTGGTTTTTGAGCTGTCTTCATTCTGTGGGGGGTTTTGGGGGGACTTTTGTGCTTTTTTCATTTGTGGGGTTTTTTTTTGGAGGGAAGTGTTTCTTTTTTGGTTTGTTTGTTGGTTTTGTTTGGTTGATTTGGCTTTTTTTTAATCTCACTCTCCTCCCACACAAATATTTCTTCCAGCACTCTGAAACAGCTCCTGAGGACCAGGCTTTTTTGGGCCTGGAGACCCTTCTCAGTTTGCTTGCCAAAGCTGACCTGTTTTTTCTGCAATAATTGTATTTTCATCAAGAGAAAGCAATAGATCTGATGGGTATGTAGCTGTCATTGGCCTGTGATATATGAGACCTAGTTTCTAGCTCTGGCTCCAGTGAACTCTTGTACATTTTTTTTATTAGTCAGTGACTGGATGAAGCACATAAACAGGGATGCCAGTCTGAGTATTCTCTCTCCCAAGTGAGTTTGTATTGAAGTGACTATTCTCACTTAGCACTGGTGATTTATTCAATTTGTTTCAAACTGCCATAGACTCAAGCAATAAGTTCTGAATTGGGTCAATTTAAACACAACAGCAAAGTGTAAAAATAATACAAGCTAACATTATACTCTGGAGGGCAGTCTTGGAAAAAAATACCAGCTCCTGGAAATGCTGTGATCCAGTCTGATTCAGCCCCTCATGTCAACACAGCATTGTTTCAAGCATGCTTCTTGTTTTGGCTCTTGTAAATCTTGGATATGGTCTGTCCCAGAATTCTAGTGCCTCTAGATTTAAAATCCTTTTCTTGAGAGCTGAAAATAATCAGCAAACCTATGCTGACATTAAAAAATGAGGCAGCTTTTAGCACTGGAAGTCTTTTTAGGTGAGAAAAAGTTTTCCCAGTTGCACTGTGCTCTGCCAAACATGTTTTTTCCAGACGCTGTTTTTCTAACCATGTGTTTAAATGACAGCTTCCTTGGTATTGACTATTTCCTTTTTGGCATGCAGGCTTATTTACCTAGGCTTATAAATAGAAGTGCTGGAAGGCTCCTGTTTTTGGGAATGTTGGCCACAAGTAGTTTTTCAAAATGGTGGGACATCCTGATTGAAACAATAGAACAGTAGTTGTAGTTTAGTAATGGATAAAACATGGTGAGAGAGAAAAATATCCAGTGTAAATGCTTGGAAATGGTCTAGTGGAATATTTTAT